CGATAGGTGTCCGGAATCCAAAATGGATTCGTTATCTCACCATGATATCTTGATAAAAATCGTCAAATCCAAGCCCTCCCCCCTATACTGCACTTTAACCAATAAATGAAATGTCTAACAGCAACCACACGTTATTCATGAAACTACTTGTCTGTTTCTAAATAAATCGACATATTGTTCTTGATAACACATTTTTAGTTGGAATAATTTCGCAACTCCTTAGAAATATTCTACTATGTTCTCATCCGTAGAAAGTAGATCCTACAATTTTAAAAATTCTTTTTTAAAAAAATATGGTACTTACATATTATGGCAACAATCACCAACACTGTTAATAACTCGCCTAGTTGGCTGACCTGATTTCCCATGCGTCGTATGCGCTGAATTGGCAACCAGGTGCCTCGTTTCATATAATGTCACCAATAGTTTGCTATAATACGTAAGTACCAAAAATACCAAACAAATAAAACAAAACAGCTTATTGTGTTTTAGTATATACGTGGACACATTTTATCTTTATTAATTGTACATCACAGCATTTGGCAACGGTTTGTAATTTGGCGAAAATAATAATCGAGCTAATACATATGTATTGTTATCGTAGCCTTAGAAATGTTCAACAAAGTTCTCTTCCTTATAACGTTGGTTCCAAATTTGGTACTTACGTATTATCGCAATCTATTGGCAACATTATGTGAAACGAAGCACATGATTGCCAATTCAGAGCATACAACACATGCGAAATTGGGGTTGCCAACTTGGCGTGTTATATTGAACGTTGGCGATTGTTACGATAATGCGTAAGTACTCCAACTTAAAAAATTCATTTTAAAAAATATCAAATAAATATATGAATCACCTTGCAAACAAGTTTGTTGTGTGTGAGCATACGCGCAGGAACATTTTATCAGGATTGGTAGTATATCGCAGCATTTGATGACAGTTTTTGATTTGGCGAAAATGTTTGTCGGGCTAGTATATATATATATATATATATATATATATATATATCATCAACATATAACTTTATATTTATTTAAGTTTTAAATGAATATTAACATCAAAATTTGTGAATGTGCTTTGAAAAAATGGGAAAAGTAGAAATGATTCTTAATTGACTCGTATGAATGTATTATTATGAAATTGATTATTTAGGATACTTTCTCTAAAACTGTTCCAACATTTGGTCAATAAAAATAAATTTTACATGCATCATAAATTTTACATTTTTTGCACAATCATTGGATCAATTAATACCGCAATATATTACATTTATATACTATAAATCCTCAAGTTACTAAACATTACCTGCCATCTTCTCTGGATATTTCATGATGTTGTATGACTATTTATTGTTTTTAACTTATTGTGATATCTACCCAGCATTAAGCTTTCGACTGCATTAAAAAAGACGCTCTCATAGCCTCCACTTGATTAAAAAAGGAAAGGCTTGAATTTCTAAAACGAAAGCATATTTATCTTTTATATTTATCTTTCCGAAAAACTCGTTTTCGGCGGATCTCTACACAACAAAAGCATGCTTGCCGAATTTTAAGTTAAGTTCAAGAGAACTCGTGATTAGTGAATGAGTGAATCGCTTTTATTCTATACACAGATAGATGTTCCATACAACCAGTGGCCCACATAAGGGGAGGGGGCTTCTCTAGTCAGGACCCCACCCCCATAGCCTTTGAATTTTTTCCGATTGATTATAATCCTATGTATCGCTGTCCGTTATCCAAACATGAATTTTTTGTATTAAATGATTCCGAGATCTATAAGAATTAAATCATTAAAAAAGTATTTTTTGTCGCTTTATCTTAATGATAGACTTTATGCTTATTTTTCTGCATAAATGGTTTCAAATGAGTCAATAATAAAAAATAACAAGAAGAATTATTTCATTTTATCGCTTAAGGTATCCGACTACGTTCGGAACCATGATTTTAAAAAAGTGCATAAATGTATAATTTTCATGATATTTAGTGTCACTTAGATTAGAATACATGCATAAAATTGTTTTAAGGACATTATGACAAAAAAAATTTAAATACAATATTTTGGCAAAATATTAACTCAGAACAACCTTTTTTCCAAATGTTCTCCTTTTGTAAAAAATGCTTCTATTGTATTAATATTTTGCCTGTATATAGCTCAGACCTCTGTACAGAGGCTCATCTATGATTTTTGAAAAATTCAGATTATTTTCAGAGTTACAACCATTTGAAATAATTATCGGCGTATTTTCTTAAAATTTCTCCCTTCTGTTTTCGTAAACATGGATAAACCGACTTCCAAGTTATGCGTTTCAAAAATTCTAGTTGAGCCTCTGTAGAGAGGTCTGAGCTAAATACAGGCAAAATATTTATACAATAGAAGCATTTTTTACAAAAGGAGAACATTTGGAAAAAAGGTTATTCTAAGTTAATTTTTTGCCAAAATATAGTATTTAAATAATTTTTTTGTCATAATGTCCTTAAAACAATTTTATACATGTATTCTAATCTAAGTGACACTAAATATCATAAATATTATCCATTTACACGCTTTTGCAAAATCACGGTTCCGAACGTAGTCGGATACCTGAAAAAAAGTTTCTTTTTCTTCATATACAGAAATATGTAGAAGCTTAAAACCTCCTTTCTATTAAATTTGACAACCAGAAAATAGGTCCTACAAAAAAAGTACTTTTTCCCCCCTGCGAAGTTGTGAATTTGCCAGATAAAACTGATAAACAGAATCAATTCATAGCGAAGAAACATAAGTCTTTTCCCTTAAAAATTCCCCACTTGTTTGTCAAACAACTCAGACCTCTATACACATCTCAAATTCTTCGCCGGTGACAATACCTTTCCCTAATCAAACCTGAATAGGAGATCTCAATGTGCTTTTTTTCTCTCTCATTGTTATTCAAACTTACTCAAAGGTATTTATCGTTTGACATCTATATAATTCACCGAATCCCCATTGGCCATTGTGTCAAATCACCCTCACCACAAAGAACGAGATCACGAGTCGAGATGAAAACATCGATTCTTAGTCACACTTTTGTCCCTCTCTAGACCTCCCCCAGAGGAAAACACCCTCAACAGAGCAACAGACAGGTCCACTTTTTGGAAGGTCAAATCACAGGTGGTCAAACGCGTGCTTTGGTTCTGGATTCTGGGATTAGGTATCAAGAAGAAAAATTTGCATTGTGTAGTACAGAAGAGGACAAGCTTATCCCCGGGATTGGGGGTTTTGAATGTTTTTTAACGGATACTCTTTTTTTTTTTCTTTTTTTTCCAGATCAATACAGGTGGATGAGGATTTTCAGCTGAGGTTTGATAAACAATAACATGCCCGGTGGAGGTGTTTTGCTCAAATAAGTCAGAACTTAGCTTGAATTGCTCCAAATGTGGCAAAATAGTAGTAAGAGTTCTGTGTTGTTTTTTTTTTATTATTCAGTGAACAGTATACACCTGATCAATGACAGAAAATGCAGGAGAATTTTTAAGATTTGAAACTTTGTTTTGAAGACAGGTTTTCTACAAAACATTTCTTTGGTGACGAAGTTTGAGAATATTATAAATTGTGTAGTTTTTAAAAATAAGAAATGTGAAATTGCGCTATAACTCTGTCATGCTAGGTGGTACATATGTTGTGAACAGCCCTCGTGTAGCGGAACAATGCGACGTTAATATTCACTCCCTCAAGGTACATATGTTGTACCACCAAGTGTTCAGTACAAAATAAATACAACTAATACACTTATTATATATGTTGACTAAATAAAAACTAGGTAAAATAAAAAAAAATGTGTAGAATAGAATATTTAAAATTAAAATTAAAACATTAGGTAAGTTAGGATTAAAATAAAATTAAGCTTACAACATTGGATTAGTAAAAACTGAAAATGCTTTAATGTATAGGATGAAGAACAATATAAGATGAAGATGTGTATTTATTTTTTCCAACTATAAAATAACTAGCTAAAGCTACCATTGTGCCTAGGGAGGAAAAAATCATGTTTTCAGAACTATCATGCTGCTTGAAGCATGGGGGTACAAAATATGTACCACCTGTTTTTTAAAACTTTGGACACCTTTTATTTGAAAAGAGTGTTTAATATTATTAATATGTACCAGCTTGTGTTCAATAATTATAGTTCGGTGAGGTCTGTCTAAAATATTTGTAATAATTTTCTTCTAGTGCATTATTTTTGTCAAAAATTTAGCTCATGAAAGAGATAATAGCTATGTGCAGTATCTGAATAAAATATTTTTTTAATCAAGTAATCAGCTTAATTTAAGTCATGAATTGAATTTGAGAATTCTGAAGTGTATTATTGTTTTTATATATTAAAACATTTACATCACATCGATGGCCGCGATAGCAGAAGGATCACGAGTTCGTGGCCAAGTGCCACTGAAGATCTGTATCAATGGTTATTTTGCAGTAAGATAATTCAATCTGTTGACCAATCTAGACTCTTTTTCTTCAAGTTTTTTCAACAGTTCGTCCAGTTGATTGCAATATATTTGTACTGTAATCGATAAACCAGGTTTCATGAAATGATAATGGATTCCGCCTGTGCTAGATCACCAAACACTCACTATCAGGTTATTTTGATGAATATTACGTTTTGGAGGTCATTCTTGTTCAACCACGATGTTGAACGTTTGCGATTGTTATATTGCATCCATTTCTCACCACAAGTGACAATTCAATCAAACAAGTAATATAAAAAAAAATGTAAGTCAATTCATACGTAGGTCAACAAAGAAAAATTTTATTTTATTTACTTTTTAATAAGTGGTTACAATTAATTTAATATATATAAACATATGACACAGAATCATAATATTAAGTGACCAAACAGAAAGGGATTTTCCTTGCAATTTTCCATTCTCCTTTCTATATATAGGGTGTTGTGTTTGTTAATATTTATTCATTAATTAAATTTAATTATTCCAATAAAATAGTATAGTAAAAAGAAATCACATTCTCAGAAATTAGGCCATCCCCGGTGGGATTCGAACCCACAACCTTCGGATTACAAGTCCTACGTGTTATCCATTGCGCTGCAGGGATACAACGAGCTACTTTCCTTTTTATATATGGTTTTTGACTATTATTTTTGTTACCATTTATTCATTAGTTAAATAGAATTAATGAATTAATATTTGAAAAAAACTGTATTAACTTCAAGTGTTATCCACTACAAGTTTTAAAAAATGTATTTGAACTTGAGTGGATGAATAAAAAGTACTTTATTAATGATTGAAAAATTAAAGATATATATATTGGGAGAGTGTGAACCTTACACAAGAGTACTTATTTGCATTTTTATAAATTGTTTTCTCTCCCAATAT